AAAATGCCAAGATAACCAACCTGGATATTCATTAGAATGTACCAGAGATTTGGCTCAAGTGGTCTTAGACCAACATATCTCCATGTAAGAATTACCACTCTAAGGTCAACACCGAATGTGGTATTTGATATCACGCTTGCTCTGAATTCTGTTTACACATAAGAGAAATCAGAGGAGCTTCAGGTTTTGGTCTTAAAAACAGTGGCTTCCTCCTGCACATCCAGAAAACTGCCCAGAGTTCTACAGTGAAAATACTAACACCTAGTGCTCAACTACAGTAAAACATTCCACCAGCAGAAGGGATTCCCAGACCACAGGGAAAATGCCCACAGGAAGAATGAAGCATATTCAAAATCCTCCCTGGCTCCTGTTTTAAGTGTAGTGTTCCATCCTTCCCAAACAGAGCCAGACAGGTCTTGTGTTTCCTTTTCAGTCTGCCCAAGTATCAGTCATACAAAGGCTAAGAACAAAATTCATTACACGTGGAATATACTTATTCCCCAAAATATCTGAGCATCAAAAAGCAGAGCAATAAGCTGCTCCAGTATTTCCTACTCATTTGCCTACAGTAAAAAGCAACATAAAAAATAACCTCAAGTCATCCTTCTTAGATGAACCAAGCATTCTTTCAAACAACACATATTACTCATACTAGCAGTTGATTTTTCACATGTACAAGTTTCAGATGGAATTTGCATATTGGTACAGAGCACAGCAGGCACAGGAAGATCACTCAAGGCCAATGCAGCATTATCAGTGTAATTAAAAAATATTAGCAGTTTCTAAGGATCTACAGCCCTAACTCAAAGAGTTACTGACTACTGAAAATCACAGTGCTTCAGACAATAATAATCATTTCATGTTTAGGACTTAAAACTTTCTATTTACAGATATCCAGGCCTAATTTTTGTTGTTACTTTAATTTTTCTTGATCTGCAGCATCACAGCCACTATTTGACAGTGAGTCTTACTTTTATAATACTTTTTCTTTTCCAGAGAGAAAACCCTGTTTTACATAAACCTTGCTATGCCCTCAGGCATACAAGGCACAGTCGAGCTCCCATTTCTGACTTTCTTCAAAGGGCTCTGGATGTTTGGACAAGGGAGGGGCAGAGTACATGCAAATTTTCCATGGCAACGATGGAAATAAGCAGTTTCATGAAGGTATATGGCTTGTGTATTAACACATGCTATACACTTCTCAACTCTGCCAGCTCTTACTGTTTGACAGCATTAGTGGTGATGTTCAGCAAAACCAACAAGACTCAAAGGGGCAAACCTTTGTCATCCTCTTTCAGGCACACATCACACACTTCAATGATCTGTGCCAAGTCCACATGGAGTCCACCTTCAGCGTTTTCTTCAGAGATTTCTGCTCCTTTGGATTTCAGGTAAGCTCGCAGTTCTGCAGCCTTAAAAAAAAAAGGAAGACAATACAAAACAAAACAGTTGTTTTGTGAACAGCAAGGTCGAAGTAATTAAATTTCATACAGATTTTTGTTCTGCAACCAATCCTCTGCCCCCAGCACTCACTCACACTTCCTCTCACTGCTCCCTGCCACCCTGTACCCTACAACACTCCCTTTCCTTAACTTTAGGGTAGAACCCACAGACCAATTTGGTGCCAGATTGTAGCACTTGCTAGAGCTGGTTTGTCAGTGACTGAATAGGTCACACAACTGTTGGACTTTCTTATAGTGTGAAGGTGTCACTTACAACTGGTTCCTGCACAGCAGGCCTAGTAAGTTTTTGTGACAAAGATGCTTTCTTACGAATTTTTATTATCTTTTACTCCCTTTGAAAACTTTAAACAGTAAAACCCCTTAGTTGCTTCTTCACCAGAAATGGGAGGTATAAACCAGAAAAAGGGTATAAATTTTAGAGAGATCAGAACTTACAGTCTTCACACAACTTTAAAGACACTTTCCAATTTATCACAGAATGGTTTGTGTTGGAAAGGGCCTTAAAAGATCATCTTGTTCCAACCTCGCTGCCACGGACAGGGAACCTTCCAATAGACCAGGTTGCTCAAAGCCCCCTCCAACCTGGTCTTATAATGCTACAACCTGTCTTACACTGTTAGGATTTAAACCTGCACTAAGAAAACACCTTTTCCTCAGCAACATGCCTTTGCATTAGCTTCACAATCCACAGTTTCAGCAGCAAAACCATAACCCTTAAAAACAACAGTTTGTTTTGTGTGAGGCCACAAAAACTTTTGGCACAGGGCACCTCTGACCAGGATGCTGCTGTGATGACCACAAGTGTCATTTACATCCAGTTCAAAGCCAAACCATTACAGAAACATCAGATACAGCTAAATTAATGCTCTGGGACCCTTTGCTGCACCGAGGATGTTTCAAATCAACGACTTGATAGAGCTGTACCATTATGAGGAGAGGCTGAGGGAGCTGGGGCTGTTCAGCCTGGAGAAGAGAAGGCTCAGGGGAGACCTCATCACTCTCTACAACTACCTGACAGGAGGTTGTAGCCAGGTGGGGGTTGGTCTCTTTTCCCAGGCAACTATCAGCAAGACAAGAGAGCATAGTCTCAAGTTATGCCAGGGGAGGTTTAGGTTAGATATTAGAAAGAATTTCTTTACAGAGAGGGTGGTCAGCCATTGGAATGGGCTGCCCAGGGAAGTGGTGGATTCTCCGTCCCTGGAGATTTTTAAAAAGAGACTGGATGTGGCACTCGGTGCCATGGTCTAGTAACCACAGCGGTAGTGGATCAAGGATTGGACTTGATGATCTCGGAGGTCCCTTCCAACCCAGCTGATTCTACGATCCTATGAAAAGTGGATGAAGGCTGTGTGTGCGTTTCTTGCAGACTTCCAGCTGTGTGTATATACACCACCTCAAAGACACTGGCATCAACAAACCCGAAACTCCAAGGTCACAACAAAGAAGCAGCCCAAAGACAAAACTCCCAGTTCCCACGCCTGTAGCACCGAGAATCCCGCAAAACCAAGGCGCGTAAGTAACGCCCATACGCGAACCGTTTTCTAAATAAAAAGCAGGGGTGGGAGGGCTGAAAACAACATGACGAGCACTGAAGAGGGAGCAGCAAACACAGCAGTCACGTTCAGTGTCTCTAAATCGCCCGTTTGATCTCGGTGGGGAAGAGCCCGGAGGAGCCCACGGAGCGCCCGCGGCCCCGGCGGGGCAGCTCCCGCCGCCGCCGCCGCCCCCCGGCCCGGCGCGGCCCCCCTGGCCCGGCCCAGCCTCTGCCGCGGTGCGGGCGCTGACCTGATCCTCCTCGGTGATGTCGATGAAGGCCGGGACGCTCATGGCTCCGAGCACGCCGCGCTCCGGAAAGGCGGATCGACTTCCGCCGCCGCGCCCGCCCGGCTCCCCTTCCGCTTCCCCCCGCCAGCGGGCGGGGCCGCCATCCCACCGCCGTCCCACAGCCCGGCCCGGCCCGGCCCTGCCCCTGCCCGGGCGGAGTCTGAACCTCGGGCTGCTGCGGCCCAGCCACAGCACCCACTGCCCTCTTTCCGTCGTTAACAGTTTAAGTGCGTTCCTAGTGATTTTTCCTGGGACGTTTAGGCGTGTCGGGAGCGAAAGGCGGTCGGACCAGATGCCGGTCCCCCGATCATTACTTTGCCTCAGCCCCTGAGCTCGCACTTGCAGTTAAAAAGTGGCGAGCCGCCGCTCGGTGTTGCCGGTGTGTCCCACGTGTGTTCTCCCTAAAGAAATTTCCCGTTCGGCTCAGGAAGACCCCCGCGAACATAGGTTGACTTTCTCCATGTTGCAAAGGTTAAAATGAAAACAAAGAAAATTGTAAAATCGCTGAGGTCGGATCCAAGATCACCATGACCAAGCAGTGACCCAGCACTGCCGTGTTTACCTCTGAACCGTGTCCCCAGGCGCCACATGCAGGTGTTTTTTGGACACTTCAGTGATGGTGACTCCACCACTTCCCATTCCGGTACCTGGCCACCCTTTCAGTGAAGAAGTGTTTCATAATATCCAATCTAAACCTGCCGTGGTGCAACTTGAGGCTGTTTCCTCTTGTCCTGCCCCCTGTTACCTGGGAGAAGAGGCAGACATCACCTCGCTGCCACCTCCTTCCAGGTTGTTGGTCACACCTCTCAGTGCCTTCCTGGTGTTGCCTCTGTTTAGCAAAGAGAGACTGCTCTGCTGTCAGTGAAACACTCAGCCCCAGTTTTACCAGTGAGATTTGAGATATAAATATGGAAACGCAACTAAAAAGGGGCCTTAAGCACAATACTTGCTGTTCTCAGTGGTTTGTATTTAGAACTTCAGAGACTCATCGAGTATCAGTGACAGCCTTGGAGTTTTC